GCATGGATCCCGGCTCCCTCCCTCCTCCTTTGTTTACATTCGTACCGCTTCCTTCTCTCTCGGGTACCTGCCGGCGTCGTCTCCCATCGCACTCTGTGTTGGTGGAGTTTGTCCACATCACAACCGATCGCTGCAGTTTTACCAACGTTCACTGTCCTGACGTTCAGCAAAGTCTCTTGACTGTAAGTTTTGCATAATGAACGTCTGGGATAGACAAGACACTAAATGTGGTCTCCTGAAGGGGGCGCTGCATCCATGCGCGCCGCCATCTCCATGGAGATCATTATCATTGTGGCTAAACTGAAAGGTTAAAAAGGAAAATTGTTAAAAGGAGCTGAACTCAACTAATACCGTTGTGTTTTAACAATCGCAAGAGCTAATGAGGACCCTGACCAGAAACTAGCCAGAGCTAGCTCAGCTAACAGGTCCCATAAAGCAGCCTACTGGCTCCTGGAACCAGCTGTCAGTCACCAGTTCCTCATCTCGCTCATTGTTTTAGAGCTTCGTGCACAGCAACACTGCTGTCTATGGACTCATAGTCAACTGTGAGACTTCTGTCAGCCAGAACAGGAAGGACAGAACGAACACATGAGCTTCAGCGTCACTGTGTGGAGGTAGCAGCAGACACCTCAGACACAGCAAAAGCTGAACAAAAGAAGAAAAAAAGACTTTGAACAGACGCCACTAAAGCAAAGTAAGAAAACGTTGTTTATCTGTTGTAATCTTCAGCACTCAGTGACACATTCACAGCGTTCCTGTTGGTAATCTCCCCAAACGTGATCCAGGAGCAGCTGTCTAAGCCCTGAACCTGTCTGAGGAGCTTCCAGACCAATGTGTCCATCACAGGTCACAGCTTTGAAGAGCTTTGCTGATCAACAGCCCAAAACAAATGTTTTAAAGTCACTGATATCACTGTACAGCCTCGAGATAAGCAATTAATCCTCATGAAAACCTTGCACTCCTGATGGACTGATATTGGGAGTATTTATAGAGGACTGACTGACGTGGCTGATTTACTCCTTATCGTGCTTTCAGCAGCTACACTTAGGAGCTGAACAACAGCTGATGCTCTTACTGATGGCAGTTAGAGGAGAAGGTTGACCCAACAGGAGATGTGGAGGTGATCAGTTACAGGGAGTCAGAGGAGTCTAATTAATTAACTCTAATTAAAGAGCAAAACATGGATAACGTCAACATGTGGCAATAAAGCCGACAGACAGCACACAGAGTTGTTTCTGTCTAAACAAAGAGTCAAAAGGACCCCGATGGAGCTACAGGACCTCACACTGGACAACACGTATGTAGCTTCATCCATCCATCAGCTACACCTTAATCCTCACTCAGGGGGGCGGAGCCTATTCCAGCTGAGTCAGAATGAAGGCAGGTTCACCTGGACAGGTAACCAGTCTATCACAGGGCTACGTAGCTTCAGCAATGACACCAACACGTCATGGTTTATCACATGGCTACACTGGAACTGCAGATAACTATTATTTCAGGAAGCAATTTTTTTGCAGCCGTCTTAATTTATTCATAAAAAATATTTTTAATGAAAAGCAGAATAAAGAGAAAAGGGTGAAAACTTTCTAAAGCCCAAATCGATGTCCATCTAAATACTGTTTTACTATTTAATTCATGAATTATTTCGTTTAAAAACTCAGAACAACCTGACATTTGTTACGCTTGAACCAACAAACGATGGCATTTCTGTTTAAAGCAGAGTCACAGTCCTGCAGTTGGAGCTTCTGCCAACGAGTCAAGCTGCAGTTTACATCACGTCTGTGCAGATGTTTGACCTTCTAGATATAAAACAACTCTTCTTCATTCCAGCTTTGTACACATCTGTGTGAATTATTGTTATAATTAGTGAATGAATTCTCCAGTTTTAGTCAAGAACATGGTGACTTTGACCTGTGACTGTCCAGTCTCACACCAGCTGTGGTCCAAAGCGTGAAATCCATTATCTTCTCGTGTTTCTGTCGGGGCTGTTGTGGCAGGACCCGCCAACCTGGCAACCCAGAAAACAACGACAGCTTTGTGGTTAGCTTCCAGACAGGTGTGTGTTTATCGAAGCCATAATCGTTTCCTAAAATTTAACAGGTAGTTTTGGAGCCCACATTTCACCAAGAAGTTCTGATCCGTAAACCAGGTAAAGAGCGACAGAAGACTAAAGTACCAGCAGCCTGAAACACAACAACAGCAAACGTATGACACAAAACAGAGCGGTACTACACTGGACTCAACTTCCAGCAGTCTCCAGGGTCCAAACCCACAGAAACTCACAAGTCATGTGATGTGAAACTTTCTCGTCACAAGTCATGGACACGGGCCAGAAGAAGAGAACAGGCCATGAAAGAAGACACCTCACCGTATGGGCTAGGTGTGACTTCTAATCAGTTCCTTTGAGTCCAAATAAACGTCTGTGCCACATTTGAAGAACTTTGATCAAGATGTTCAAGAGAAGTCCGGTCCACAAGAACAGGATGAATGGACTTTTACTCAGATGACGAACCGGGGCATCGTGTTGTTCTATCATCAGAATAGAAGGTTTGACGAAGTCCGTCCCACTGGACTTCAACTTCAGCTTTGTTCCCCAACAGCAAATATAGAAAACTAAACGAGTAACGGGTTCGGGGCTACAGCACTGAAATACCACAACACAGAAATACAGTTCTGTAGCTCCTCCTTTCTCCGAACCGTCCAGTTCTGCTGGGCTGATCTCCATCCACCGTCCTGACACGTCCCAAGTTCTGCTGCATCCATGAATTCCCTTGAAGCTGCCATAATGAGCTCCACCTGAGCAGGTTCTCCTGAGATCTCCTCAGTGGAGCTGCCTGATGGAGAAACTACCGAACCGAGCCACGAGACAACCCACACACAGCAAAGCCACTGGCACCGTTTCAGTCCAGGTGTGAGAACCGGACAGAACCGCGGCGCATCTTACCGTTGGACCGGCGAACGATGTTCTCCAGGAACGTGTTCTGAGGGGCCACGAGACCCCGCCGTCCTCCCGCCATCCTGCCGTGGTCGTGCAGCGCGAGGCACACCGCGTCCCGTCGCTCACATATCTGACGATGCACGAGCCCCGCGCGCCGTAGAGTAGCAGCTCGTGCTCTCTCTCTCTCTCAGCAGGCTCGCGATTGGCAGATGGTTGCAGCACGAGCCGCGAGAAGAGCGACAGTAGGCGGGCGGGGGGAGCGCGAGCTGCACAGAGGAACGTATAGCCGCACATACATCATGACATCACTGCTGCTAATTAAAGGCTGGTTCCGCCCAAATGTCCGCAACGCAAACATGTGGCTTCCTGCTTCTGAGGCTGTGATGTGTGAGGAGCACGCACCTGTCACGAGGCAGAGAGAGAACCAAACGGCTCTGGGTCAGCATGTTCTGACTCTGTGGTCTGGACCACCAAGCGGGCTCAGTGAGAGGACTTCAGGCTCAGCTCTGGGTCTTTAACGGGCTACATCACCATGGTAACTGATGCTGAACTCTGACCCTGTCCTAAAGCAGGTTCTGATCCAGACAGCAGACCGATGGGTCACCCTTCGTGGAACATGCGGTGGATTCTGGTGCACAAACAGCAAGACGGTCTCAGGAAGTCAGAACCATGTCATTGTTTATGGGCCGGGCCATTCCAACATCACACTGAGCAGGAGCTGATGACACACTGAGGCCTTGTTCTGGGGACCGTGCAGCAGGCCTGCTTACAGTTCAGTGTTTCATAGCTGGGTTCTGCCTGCGACCCAGGTCGTTTAACAGCACCAAGGCTGAGCTGAAAGCGTGAGGTTGAACCCTAACCCTCTAACAATGACCATAGTCTTACTTCAGTGACGCTACTGGATCATTTATTGTTCAGAACATTTGGTGTTTCAGTGAGCAGCACGGTGGGTCTGCAGCTGGGCCCGGTTCTGCAGTGTCGCATGGAGATAACTGACCTGAATGTTTAATAAGAAGCCTGCATAGCTGGAGTCTTGATTGTTGTTGATTACATTTAAGGAATGATGCTGAATATAAGGAGACCAGAGAGGGAACAGAACCACTGGGTGTCACAGGAGGGTTCTGATGCCTGCACTCGTAGACACATGCTGCTTTTGCTTTTTTCTTTCTTTTTTGTTTTTGCAGGCAACCAAACAAACAAGGCAGGTTTTGCCTTTTCATACATCTTCAGGAGTAACTCCAGGACACTGAGACAAAAGTTACACCTGATTTAAAGAACAGAACCTTTGACACCATGTTTATCAGAGTGGATCAAGAGCCGGCTGTCAGACCTGATGGGTTCGGTTTAACCCTAACCTTATTTACATAGTGATAACCCCAACTGTAACTCTAACTAGGGTTGCAAAATTCTGGGAATTTTCAAACGCTGGAAACTTTCCATTGGAATTAACGGGAATTTATGGGAATAAACGGGAATAAACTGGGAAATTTCAAAACTGAAGGTTGGCTCTTCATAGGGAACTTAAATATAGTTGGGGAAAATATATTTTAGTATAATCTTGACTTAAACAAACAGATGCCATCCAAGTACACTTGAATATCCATGTCATGCCTCAATCACATGCACACACAGCACACTGCTTACTGCATGTCTACTGAGACCACGCCCCCTACAGGCACTGTGCATGCTTCCATCACATGTACAGAGGATTTATAGAAGACTGGACCACACTTGAGCCCAAAGCACAAGACTATTGAAGGCACACACTTGCGCCTGTGGACTACACAAAGTGAAGCTAGTTTTGATGATATTATGGGGAAATATATTTATTAAATGTTTAAATTGCAAATATCACATACAAATGTATTCATCGAGTATAGAGCTAGCTGATAAGTTAAATGCTAAATAAGCCATAGCTAGCATAGGAGTGCATCTGTGAGGCACTCTTATAAAAATTCTACCTACCTCAAATGTGATGCTGTGATATGACACAATTTCATTACATTACCCTCAATTTCCAGTTAGTTCCCCTAAATGCCCATTAATTCCCATTAATTCCCATTATTCCCATGTAAAGTTTCCAATATGGAATATTTCCAAAATTCCCCAGTTTAACCTCCCATGGAAATTTACCGGAAACTTACCGGAAATTTACCAGAAATTGTCCGCCCCTTTGCAACCCTAACCCTGTTTATAGAGCGATAACCCTAACTAGAACTCTGTTGATATAGTGATAACTCTAACCCTAGCACAACATGTGTCATCTCACAGCGCTGAACACAGTGAGGTGAACCTGACCTACACCATAATGACGGCCTTATGGTGGCCAATGCAGTTTACTTTTATCTTCAGGCCTCAGTTTTGGTGTGTGGTCTTTACTTTATTTGTATGAATTCAATGTACCACAAACTCTTTGCTCAGCGAATCAAAGGCGTGACAGCACAGAGGCACTTGTTCTGGGTGAGGATCAGAGCTTCATGTTACACCTGCAGCAGAGATGGAATAAATTGTATGTGTGATGCTTCAACAATCACTAAAAGACATTTTCGGTTTACATTTTAAAGTCTCAGTGGCAGCTTGTGTTTCAGGGAGCACCGTGGGTGTTGCTGTGGAGAGAGCAGGAGGTATATAAAAGCTATAGAAGCTGGAATGTCATTCCTCTGCGCTGTCCGGCTGGATTAACCCCTCCACATATGTGTTGCTGGCCTCCTATCGATCCCAACATGTCCATTTCATTATGTCCCCAGGCACACCAGAACCCAGCAGAACTCCAAGGCCAGTAGGATCACACAACGGACTGTTGTGAAAAGCACCAGCTTCTTATTTTATTATAGTTTTTATTTCCTACTTTTCTGTGATAGTACGCTCAGCATCAGACTGTTGCTCAGACAGAACAAGACATTTAACATGTAACCTTAGAGGGAGATGGAGGACACTGATGTTCTCGACTGAACATCGAGAAACTATTCTGAAAACGAGAATTAATTCATTGCATCTTTGCAATACTTTTACAGTCAATCCTACGCCTGTGCCCGATGTTTTCTGTGTGTTCATTATTGACACAGAAGAAACTGAAGCAGCCCTCCATTGATCAGCTGTTTCAACCAGAGTTGATCGGGGATGGAGAACCTGCTTCCTACATCCCAACACAAGTTTGTGATTAGACCTGTTCTGAGGTCCCAACAGTGTGCAGAGTGTCCACTTCCTGATTTTACCCGTTAGATGGGTTTTATGGGTTTAAGAATGCTATAGCCTTAATATTTATAATGTTAACACACATCAGGGCTGCAGGTGTCTCAGTGGTTAGCACCGTGGCCTCACAGCTAGAAGGTCGCCGGTTGGTGTCCCGGTGAGGACACCCGGGATCTTCCTGCGTGGAGTCTCCATGTTCTCCCCGTGCAGCGTGGGTTCTCTCCGGGTTCTCCGGCTTCCTCCCACAGTCCAGAAACATGTTGAGGTTAATTGGTGATTGTAAATTGTCCGTAGGTGTGAATGTGAGTGTGCTTGGTTGTCTGTCTCTAAGTGTAGCCCTGTGATAGACTGCTTACCTGTCCAGGTGAACCTGCCTTCACCCTGAGTCAGCTGGGATAGACTCCACCCCCCCGGTGAGGATTAAGGTGTAGAGATGATGGATGGATGTTTCTGTACATAGCATAAAGTAGCTGTACTGTTCTGGTGACATCTGAATTGAACTGGATGAATAAAACTAGACTAGCTGATGGACAACATGTCAGAAGTCAGTTCAGTCCATCCCACGCTGTGTGTCAGGACGCTCTCTGGACAGTCTGAACAGTGTGAGGTTGTCCTGGACTGCTGTGTGGTGTCTCCCCCTGCTGGTGTTGCAGAGTCAGTGCAGGAGAGTCACTGATAAACAAGGAGAGAGAAAAAAAACAGCAAAATAACAGCTCGAGTTATGGTCAATGTTCAGTCAGTGGTGGCGCATATACTGTCACTTTGTGATCACAATGGTCATGAACATACCTGGAACGTACATTGATCTGAATAGATGACGTTTATAATTTAATTTATCTGTGATATTTATTATTTCCGGATATTCTGGACTCCGTTTGGGTTCAGTTTCTTGTAACATGTGTTCTGTTGCTGCTGAAGCCCAGCGTTACTCTGGTTTTCTGTTTATTTTTATTTTAGTTTCTCAGTTTGTGTCAGCGGAAGGATCTCCTGCGCTGCCACAGGGTCCGCAGCAGTGGAGTCGCACTGCCTCCCCACGGTGCGTAAAAAGCCTTCCGCCGCGTTGGATAGACCCCTGCGGGTACCACTGTAACAAGGCGAACCGTTCCCTCAGAGGAAACAACACGATATGAAGATGTAGAGAACACAGACGACACTGCGCCGTCGTTACACCGAAGTGTTGCAGCAGGAAGTGAGCGCGTAAACACGGCGTGAGCGCGCAGCAGAGCGCTGCAGCGACACGGACGGAGCTGCGGCGGCGGAGCGAAGCGCAGGAGAAAGGCGTCCAGCTCCTGCTGACATTTTCTGTTCCGACTCAGCAGCTAAAAACCGGGAATCAGAGCGCAGAGATGCCGGGGATGATGGATAAAGGCTCGGATTATTTGGGGAAAGGTCGCTCGAACGGCACCAAGAGTCCGTCCAACGCTTCTAACGGACATTTTTCTGACGAAAGCGGCAGCGACGACGAACACGGCGAGTATAGCCTCGAACACCTCTGGTCGCGGCTCTGCCCGCGTTTCCACCGGGACGGGTCCAATAAAGCGTCTCCTGTGTTTGCTGTTTGTGTTTTGCAGATGTGGGGATGCGGGTCGGAGCCGACTATCAGGCCAACATTCCTGAGTTTGAGCCCGGTGAGGTTTCTCTGGTTTCACTGGTTTTACTGGCGTGTAGCTGAGTGGCGGACGGTGGTAGCCTCGGTTCATGTCCAGTAACTCAGAGCTTCATGTCAGTGTGTTGATGGATCCAAACTCCGTCTGCGGCTGTAGTCTACATCCCAGAGCGTTACTGAGCAGCAGGACGGTGTGGTTCTGTGGAGAGAAGCCCTCCGAACCAGACCGAGGCTACCTCAGCTCCTCACTCACTCCTAGTGACATGAATGAATGTATGAAATGGGCTGAGTGACATTGATCTGGTGTTCATCCTCCCACTACCTGAAACAACGATCCTGCTTTAAATAAGCAGCAGTAACTTTCTGATCTCGACCTGCACCAGAACTGTGTTGTAGATAAGATCCAGAGTTGGAATAACCACCTTTAAATTGTCCAGAAACCAACATGACATCTGGTTCTGTCCAGCCAACAGTCCTCAATTCCCTGACTAGACCCACTGAAGGTACTGATACCAACAGTGTGTGAACGTGTGAGACGTGGTCAGCACTTCATCGTCTGGCTGCTGACCACTGATGAAGGAAGCGTTTCAGCCGTTGAGACGATGTGAGCGAGATGTGATCAGAGTGAAATACTTCAACAAACCAAGTCTGATGTCAGCCTGAGTGCTGGATGAAGCCGTGTCCTCTCAGTCCACAGTGAGTCGGTTCTGATTCAGAAGTGATCTTCTGAGATTGGATCTTGGAAAGTCAAGGTTCTGCCGCATTCAACAAGTGACCAACACAACTGTTCCAATTAGTATAACAACTAAATGCCCTCGATGGGCTTCATGGCAGACACGCTTTCTGGTGACCACGGATGTGTTTGAAGGTTTTTTAAGGTCTTTGTGTGAGTTTAGAGTTTATCTGCAGTAAAAACGTCCTGCATCACTTCTAAAGGCGTCAGTACCACGGACATTTGGAAAATGTATTATTTGTTGTTATTTCATATGACAGCTGAACATCATTTAGACATCAAACTGTTCCAAAGCTTTGCTCAGTATTTCTAGTTGTTTTGGTACCAGATGTGAAATCCGACCTCCTGGACAGTCTGAGGATGATGTCCATGTATTTATTATCTCTGTTTAGTTACATCAGTGACAGAATAGTTCTCACAGAAGCTGTGCCTGTCTCAGGTTGAATAATTAGGGTTAAAATATGAAAGCAGTCGTCTCTCCATTTAGAGTAATATTACCTTTAGCCTTTGTGTGAACAAGCCCTGACAGTCAGGAGCAGCATTATTCTCCAATAGATTAAGTAAAGTATTGACGATAGAAGGTAAACAAATCCTGGTCAGGTATATCCTAAACACCTGAGCAATGTGCAAGTTGCACTGTTTCACATTCTGATTTCAGTTTGAAGCTGATGAGCGTATTCATGCAGCCACACACGGATGAACTCAGACGGCAGTTTAATGATGATTGAACAGAAACTTAACGTGTCTCCTTCATCCATCTCCACTGTTTGTGCTGACATCAGTGTGACATCTGCAGACCGCTGCTAGCTAGCGTTAGCCACATGGCCAGGACACTGAATGAAGAGACTCCACACGAGTTTGACTTTGACAGCTTCACATGCGGCAGCCAGAGATCAGCAGAAAGAGGTCTCAGATCTGTGCAGACTTTTTTCTGCTCCCCATCCTGAGCCACACCAGTCCTACAAGCAGAAAGACTCAAACAATGCCACAGATTGCAGGACGGTACTGACTCAAAAGGCAAACGCAGCCAGGGATCATTTACATTCTGGTTCTAACTTGTTGGTACCTTCGTGAACATGCTGTAAAAACTCCATTTGCACAAAAAGACATTTTACAAATAATACAACCTTCACTGAACCACGTCCAACAAACAACCTTTGCATACACAGACCTGCACAGAGTCACATATTCAGTGAGAATGCCTCCTTCATATCAGATGTGCAGGTTTCCACCAGGTCCAGTCGGACACTGTTGTTCAGGGACTTATTTCTTCTCTTCTGACATCTGTTGTTTCTCATTGCCAGTTTAACAAGACAGTAGACGGTAATCAGTGAACACAGCAAAACACAATCAGTCATATTCAGTCACAGAAACTACAAATTAAACTTATGGATGAAAACGATTGTGTGTTTTCCAGCTGACCATAAAACAAAGCATCAGTGTTTTAGCCAATGCTACGTAGCGTTAGCGCTCGCCAGCACGTTACAATAGAGTCCCATCCAGTGGCATCATCAACACAGTTGTGTGGGAGAAGGAAGTATTTGACTTTCACGACACACCAACAGGTAGGAGGAGGATGTACAGTTTATCATTTCGGCTTTCTAGACGTCTGCTGCTCACAGAACAGATCTACTGCTGTCTTCACTGTAAAGCAAAGTTGGGACTCATTTCTCTCATACATAAATTCTGGAAATACAAAACGACCTTCAGGTTTGTGTTGCTCTGTATTATAACAGAGGAATGTGTCAAAGCAAGACAAAACATTTCAGACATTCAGAATAAGACAAAGCGAGCGTGGAGCAGATGTTTAGTGCAACACGACGTCCTGGAGGCGACCTGTTGGCACAACGTTCTGCAGAAACCCCACAGACAGAAGAGTCATGAAGAAAAAGCATGAAGTGGAATTACTATGACTGAGAATTTTACTCCAACAACATTTCTGGATGTGTTGAAGACAAATTTAAAATGACAGTTGTATCCTGACTTTAGGTGACATATGATCAAACGTGTTCCTACATTTCCCATAATCCCACCGTCAATGACAGAATAGTGCTGTGTGTCCCTTCAGAGCGACACAGAGGAATGATGAGGAGAATGCATTTGCTGTGTAAAGCTGTCAGAGACCCTGAACATTAGGGTTAACTTAACAAGAGTTCTGGTTTGTGCTGTTTTCTGTGAACACTCTCAGGTTCCACCAAGTACACAGAGAAAGACAGCGGAGGGATGCTGGTTTGGTCTCCGTATCACACCATCGTGGACTCAAAATGTAAGTTCACTTGATTCAGTCTTCTGTGGCTGTTTGGACACAGCTGTAGTCCTCTATCAGGTTCTCAGATCACAGCCAGCTAACACAGTGTGTGTGTGTCCACAGTGGATGAGTACATCGCTATCGCCAAAGAGAAACATGGGTACAACGTGGAGCAGGTGAGTCCCTCAGCATCAGCTGCTGCTGTGTGAGTATTAGGAGCTGCTTCTGTTTCTCCAGCAAACCACAAAAAGCTCAGTGACATTCTGGGAGGTCAGCTGCTCGACCGCCTCACAAGCTCTTGAAACCTTGTAGGAATGATCTTTGGCATCTGAAACTGACTTCTGCCCATATTTTAGCTGAAATTCCAACAGTTCCATAATTTGTCACCCAGTGGAAACTTTCAGTAAATCTGCCACTGGGAGCCTGCTGACGTACTGTACAGCTGCACCGAGGCGGCAGGAGGAGGCTTCAGAGGGTGATTGAAGCAGCTCAGAAGGTCGCTGGTTGGCCTCTCCCCTCACTGATGCACATTTACGCTTCCCGCTGCCTCAGCAGGGCAAGAAACATCATGAAGGACAGCTCACGTCCTGGGTCCCGTATGCTGACCTGTTGCCCTCAGCCAGGCGCTGCAGGTGCATCAGGTCCAGACCAACAGACTAAAACAGTTCCCCCAGAGCCATGACCGCCCTGAATGCCCACAGACACTGGTCCACTCCCACCAGCGTTCCTGTGAATCCTCTCTCAGCTTATATATATATATATTATATATAACATGTCACTCAGGCGTAATCTGCCACAAGCCTTGGTCAGGTACCTCCGTTCCTCGCTGCTGTTGTAAATACTCACATTTACGTCCATTTTATACCTGTTGTCACTTGTTTATTTTTTATATACACCTCTAGGCTCGACAGACGTCGTGCTTTCATCTGTTCATTGATCGCTGTTCTTTGCACTGAAGGGGATCGTTGTACTGTTTTTGGTATAGTGACATTAAAGGGTTCTGGTTCTGACTTAAGATGTCCATATACCTTGAAATATATGTCCAAGAGTCTTCAAATTTTCAGATGTTCAGAGGTTTCTGGTAAATGCAGCAGATCTGGAAATCAAGACAGAATTTTTTGCTTAAGACCTCAAATTCAGGCTTTGGTCAAAAATTACAAATAAAATGGATTTTCGAAAAACTAGGAAAAATATATGTCGAACACATAGGATCTGTTTGATCAAGTTCATCGTGACAATAACATCTGAATGAAACTACTGATGCTTAGAAAACGTTCGTGTTGGTAGAAATGGGAATTAGAGCCAATGGAAGGTGACACAGGTGAACAAGTCATTAACTTCCAAATGGCCAGCTGGACATTTTGAGCCATGGGCAGGCTGACGAACTTTAGCAGGAGACGGAAGTATCGTCTGCTTGTGTGCCAAGTTACAGTATAATAATAATAATAACAGATCAGGTTTATTCAGCGCTTTTCTAGACACTCAGAGACGCTGAACACTGTCAGTTATTCATCCGGTGGTGGTCGCTCCGGTTGTAGCCACAATGGGGCAGACTGGCAGAGGCCTGGCTGCCATCCTGCCCTCCGACCACCACCTCAACAGTCCATCCATACGCATCCACACCAGGCAGGTGGTGAAGGGTCTTGGCCAAGGACACGACGACCATGACACAGGCTACAGGAATCAAACCGCCGACCTTCCCATCATTGACCTGCTCCACCAGCTGAGCCACAGCCGCCCATCCTTGCTATGGAGACTTCCATATCTCATGTATGAGAGATATTTTTTCATTTTTTTGAAAATTCACTTCATTTGCAATTTTTGAACAAATCCTGAATTTGTCTTAAGTAAAAAAATGAGTCACAAGTGCCAGTATTTGCTGCATTCACCAGAAATCTCTGAACGTCTCCTGAAAACTGGATGACTCGAGGACGTATACTTCCAGAAGCATCTGGTTCAACCACAACCCTAACCCTTCTAACTCATGGAGAGATTTCTGGAAAATTCCCATTGACTGAAAAATTATAATAATGTTGGAACTTCAGCTAGAAATGAACAGATGTCAGTCTCACATGCTGAAAATCATTCCTACAAAGGTTCAAGAGAATCTGAGATGGTCAAGCAACCCTGAGTTGACGAGGAATGAGCCGTGAGCGAAGGCGTTAACAGCCCACACCGACAGTACCGGCCAGAACTCCTGCTTTAATGTAGACACACGTGTGTGTGTGTGTGTGTGTGTGT